TCGTGCGGTAGTGCTCGGCGCTGTCCCGCTCCAGCTCTTGGAAGCTGTTGAACAGCTCGCCGTAGCTCCTCCGGCCTGCGGCATAGACGCACCGGAAGAACTCCAGGTAGTGCGGCTCCTTCATCATCTGGCTCCGCCTCAGCTCCACGCCGTGCGGTAGACCCGGCAGCGACACGACGGCATCAGGATCGTCGCCGTCGGGGTTGTGCCTATGCTCCTGCGACAACACGTGCTCGGAGCAGGACCGGGCGAACACACCCATGCCGAGGAACATGAGACGCGGCACGCCGTATTCAGCCGCGACGTCCACGGACCAGTGGTAGAAGCCGTCGGAGACCACGGCGTCGAGGTCGGCATGGCTGTCAGCCAGGAACCGTTCGAAGGGCTCCCGGAGCAGCTGCACCGCCCGGCCGAACTTCACTTTATCTTCCTGGGATACAAGGCCCGTGCCGCGCTGGCCAGCCGGCGGGAGCCCGACGTCGGGGAAAGGCACGACGGCGACATGGACCGACTGGGAAGAGAGGTCGTCGTTGCTGTTGGCGCGGTCGACGATGGAGCCGATGATGGAAGCCTGAACGGGGGTGGTGAGGATGGTGCACCTGACGCCGCGAGCCGCGAAGACCACGGCGATGTCGGCCATCGGAATGAGGTGGCCCGGGATGAGGAAGGGGAAGAAGAGGATGTGTAGCGGCTGCTGCTGCTGCTGCTCCTCGTCCTTGTCCGCCATGGCTGCCTTCCCACGCCACGCCGGTCTCAATTTGTCTCTCTTCTTAACCTTATGCGGTGGTATTTGACGACCAGAGCAGAGTGCAAAGCTGGATGCCAATCAATTGAGGTGGGGGCACTGTGAACCATGGCAGACAGGTGACACTGCTGCTGCTGCTGCTGCTCATGATCATGATCGATCATCGCACAGAATAGCAACGTTGATAAGTCGCCACTCGCCAATCATCTTCATTTGTTACGGTGATAAGTCGGGTAGGTACGCCCTTGTAAAAGATGCACCTTTTGGTCGTATGATGAATTATTAGCAGTTTCAGTAACAGTCGAGAACAGGCAGGATAGTAGCAGCTTGGTCTTTGGATCGATCTCTGATTCACTTGACAAAACACAGTGATGCCAAGTCACGGTGTCCCTCCTATTTTTTCTACAAAGGGTGAATTTTATTAGCTTAAAATAAAACATCAAGAGGATGCAAACATTATAAGCACACACTTGGTCTCTGCACATAGCCAACACCAACACTAAAATAACCAAAGCGTTCAGATCCAATCGGCAACTAGCAAAATCATAAAACACCAAAGCTATGTGTGTGGACAAGGAAAAATAACCAAAGCGTTCAGATCCAATCGGCAAACTATAGCAATGACAATGTCTCCACCAACC